CAGATACGAACCAGCCATTTGTCTCGGAATTATTAAGGCGCGTTGCCACTGGCTCGGCTTGTTCCAGCGAACAGGCTTGTTCGCTAGTCCCAGCGAATGGAGTGGCAGAGAAACTACGTCGTCCATTGTCGCACAGAAATTCAGGTGCATGGTGCACATGATAAGTATAATATTCGCGACGAGTTTCGTTTTAATAGAGCTGGCAGTTGCCGTCGAAAAAATTACCGAAATGCATCCGCTTTTATAACATCGAAATAAGTCCTAACCCCTTTGCTTAATACAAGGGTTGCTTCTGACGAACGTCATACAAAACCTGCACTAGCTTTCACCGCTAAAAATATCAGGCTTATAGTACAAGACAGTATAATATTTGTGCCAAGTTTCATATTAATAGATCTAGGAGTTTCCTTGTAGAAAATTAACCCTTTGCTTCGTACAAGGGTTGCTTCTGACGAACGTCATACAAAACCTGCACTAGCTTTCACCGCTAAAAATATCAGGCTTATAGTACAATACAGTATAATATTTGTGCCAAGTTTCATATTAATAGATCTAGGAGTTTCCTTGTAGAAAATTAACCCTTTGCTTCGTACAAGGGTTGCTTCTGACGAACGTCATACAAAACCTGCACTAGCTTTCACCGCTAAAAATATCAGGCTTATAGTACAATACAGTATAATATTTGTGCCAAGTTTCATATTAATAGATCTAGGAGTTTCCTTGTAGAAAATTAACCCTTTGCTTCGTACAAGGGTTGCTTCTGATGAACGTCATACAAAACCTGCACTAGCTTTCACCGCTAAAAATATCAAGCTTATAGTACAAGACAGATGTAATATTTGCGCCAAGTTTCATATTAATAGATCTAGAAGTTTCGTTGTAGAAAATTAACCCTTTCCTTCGTACAAGGGTTGCTTCTGACGAACGTCATACAAAACCTGCACTAGCTTTCACTGCTAAAAATATCAGGCTTATAGTACAAGACAGGTGTAATATTTGTGCCAAGTTTCATATTAATAAATCTAGAAGTTTCCTTGTAGAAAATTCAATCAAAATTAAACCTTTCCTTCGTGCAAGGTTCACTTCCGAACGTCTCGCAGAAACTGCATCACGTATCGACGCCAAAAGAATTATGCGCGTAGTGCAAGACACGTGTAATAATCTTGTGAAGTTTCATTTCGATAGCTGCGGCAGCTCCGTTGACAAAACTTCGCGAAGGCAACGTACATTTGTTAAATCGAAATAGCTGTCGACGCTTCCCATCGCGCAAGGGTGGCTTTCAATAAACGTTGTGCAAAAAGTGCACTGTATTTCGCCAGGAAAAAAATCAGGCGTACGGTGCAAAATACCGGTAACAATACCGGTAACTTTCATCTCGATGCATCTAACGATCTCCATAAAAAAAAACAATTCCCAAATGCACCTACTTTTCAGAAAGTAGACGAGTAGTTTTCTGAAAAAACGATTCCCATGAAAACGTGTAAACAACCTCCGACAAAAAACAACGACGCCGGGTCTATTTGGACCCGGAGTTACGAACACTCCGTCTAGATTCTAATTTTGTGACGATCGTACGTAATTCGATATTGAAGCAAATTAAATGATATTGAAAATTAACACGTTGGCTGCCGCGCGAATTTTACGTGACTTGCCCAAGGCGCCAACATGAATTTTTCATTATGCGATGCATATATTATGTTGAAATATTATTTACAGCAGACAAGTTTCGTTGTATAAACTTGTTTTATGCATTTTTCGTGTCGCATTGTAATAAATTGCACAATTATTACAATATTATATTATTTAAAAATTTATGCGTATCGATGTTTACCCTAATTATGTATTTCAACTATTCGTCGAGTGCCGGTCACCGGTGACCCCCACGGCAGCCAACGTGTTAAATGATATCAAAGCTAATTAAAGTAATTGACTTTGGTCTGAACGAAGAGGCTTTTAATAATATACGAACGAAAATTAATCGCAAAAATTTGAACGGATCTAACCGCGGCTGCGATAAATCCAGAAAAAATGTCCGCCAGCCAAAGGTTAATCTTCTGGTGTAAAGTCATCTCGCGGACAGATTACGGCAAATATTCGCGAAAGTGGAAGAGAGTCCGTGGCAACGCGCCGCGAGCTATTGATTTGCGAGGTGGCCGCGCGCGGCTCGGACCCTCGGCCGAAATTGCTTCGCTGACAGCTCCGCGTCTCATTTTCATCGAATTAGTTCACGGGTCGGTCCTCCGCGCTCCGCGGCCCGGCGAACGCCGCTACTTTCCTCAATTTCCCATGGTACCGGGGGGACCATTAGCAGGATTGCGGGTCGCGGCTCTTTCTACGGGCACCGCCGTAAACCGTAAACTGCGGCGAACGGCTTCGCGGACGCGTAATTGCAGCGTAACGACATCGCGATTGCCACGGCCCGTTCAAATATGCAGAGCCCCCACGCGCGGCCATCGGCGTGTTCAGCTTCGCGACGATCTCCCTGAATCGTTCGGTTTACGGCCGCGTGCATGCATTAGTTCCAGCGCGACGCACGGGGGGGGGGGAGGTTCGAACGATACCTGCCGGCTGGAAGAAAAAGCTTCGGGAAAGAAGGCGTTAATTGTTCCCGGTAGACTTGCGGGTTTTATACACTTATGAAATGAGTAACTGTAATTGGCGACAGCCGTGAGATCACAGGAATCGCCGATGTATCGTTAGGTTGTTGCGCACGGAACGTCGGATTTTTAAGTGAACAGTTAAAAACTTCGTTCTCGAAAGATGTTTATTCGATCGAGATACGACCCGTTTAACCAAACGCGGTTTTAACGAACGAATGCCATTTTTAAAGATGTCCTCGTCCCTCGGATGAACAAACCCGGCTATGGGGATGATAATATTATCTTCGTTCGCGAAGTGTTTATTCCGTGAAACGAGTCCCGGGCGTTTGAAAAATGCGGCGATCGATTTTTCTTAAAAGTGGAACACAGAGCGTGATTACGTGTTCGAGGGGGAGACGGTTATCTAAATAATTCATCGGTTATTGTGGTTACATAGAAATCATATTCTCAGTTTTCTAAAGAATTTTGAGCATGGTCATGTTCGTCGAATGGAAAAATTACTTTCATATTTTATATGTATATTATTATATATATATTTATTATTATATTATTATTATATATATTATATTATTATATATATATATATATATATATATTTATTATTATATTATTATTATATATATTATATTATTATATATATATATATATACTTCCAATAGTTTCAATTATCTCGCCTTATAATTGAGCGGAAGCTCAAGTGTAGAGATCTCAACATGTATTCGGAAATCACAAAGTCATTGTATTCGTTAACTTCGTTCCATTTCGTCGTACGATTCTTCATGCGAAATACCCTGGACAATCGTGTCTACGCTTAATAATTTTAGCAAGTTACATCTTCGAATGTTACCACAGTTTTGGATTTCTCGCGTGTCTACTGATTTTTCTCATAAAATCCGCAGTCTAGCGGTGAATCGTCTTAAACGGATCCGCTGGGTTGTATACAGCTCTCACGACCTCGACTCTACGAGATTGTGGCTCATAAAGCATGAAAATGTGGTTTTCGTTCGAGCCAGTTCCGACTTTCCCGGAACACGGTACGTCGTGTAAAACCGAGCCACCTCGTTATCGCAGATGAGTATCGTGGTTGTGGCTCACCTGGCGTTGCGGCGCGACCTTATCTAGACCCTATGGACGCCGTTTTCCCTGTTTCGGTTCGATGGTTGAACCCGTTGCAAAATTTCCAGAGCGGCGTCCCTCGATCGGCATCGATCCACGTTGAAGATTCTGGAACGTCCACTGCGGACGTGACCGTCCACGTTCACGGGAATTGTTACGTAAGCCTGGATCGATTCAGGAACGGAAGATTACCTTCCGTCGAGAAGTTGGTTCGCCCGATCAGCGAGCTCGATTCTGAAGTTCGCGACGTACACTCGCTGGAACGCTAGCTGCTTGTTGGCTGATTCACCGGACATCGTGCACTGCTTTGGTTCGAGGTCGAAAGGCGGCGGTTCGCTGACCAGTGAAAGCGGCTGGACCGGAATGATAATCGAGCGTTGTTGGAAGAACGTTCGGTATGATTTTATTTTTGGAGCATTTATTTTTAGTAGAAAAAAACGTAGCTGTGAACGATGGAACGGTGGAAGAGATTGATACTTGCAAGCGTTGGTATGAAAATTCTTCTGGTTTATCAGTGGGAGGTACGTTCGAGAGTTTAATTATCGACAGAATCATATTTGCGAATGATATCGACTACACGCGAGACATAGGAGTACGGTTTGCGTAAGGGTTTTAATACTAGAACCGGCATCCACTAATTCGGAGTACGGAAACCCTGATAATTCGGTACACCGTTATAATTTAACAATGAATCTTCGTATACTGCGGAAAATTTGAAAATAGCGCCATTTGTGACAAGTGTCGCTCCTTGCGGTGACCTCTCCAAGCTCGATTCGGGGTCCGTACAGCGCCAATTGGTGTAGTGGCAAAACGCTCAAACTATTAGCCGAATTACTGACAGTCGATTTTCGCTAACAGTTTGAGCGTTTTGCCATTGCTCCAATTGGCAAGGAGCGGCACTTGTCACAAATGGCGCTAGTTTCAAATTTTTCGCAGCAAATGATTCTTGCCGAATTTTAAACTTATTTTAAAGCACAAGCGACGAGAATTATCTGTCAAACTTATTAAATGATTTTGTATGATATGGATGCAAGAGAGTCGACTGAACACATTTCTGTATCTTGAAAATATTTCTCGAGCCCCTGAATTGATAGGATTCATGCTATTTTCCGCACAGATACTTTCCTTACAGCAGTAATCAGTTGTTGCTGTAAGAAATATTCAGTTTTCTATGTATTTGCAACAATAGGCTTTTCCTCTTTAAATCGTCTTTTGTATTTTTATTTTGGTAGGGTATTTCAAGATGAACAAATTGTGTGAACAACTGAATGAATAAAATAAACATTACGTGCTGAACAAGGATAACTTTATTCTGGACCATAGTGATGCTCGTTTACAGCTAAATTTGTATTTATTTATATTAATATATATTAAACTTACATATAATAGATATAAATATAAGAAGAAAATATTTGGTAAATGTCTCCTGACTTAGAATAAACTAAAACGGATAAGAAAGAAATGTAAAAAAATATAATATCGACAAGCACTGGTATCTTAAAAATTGTCTAGCAACTGTGTGTGTGTGTATAATGTGATCAATTAATATATTAAAAATTAGTCGTTAAATCATGCATACTTTCTCCTCAATTTGTATTTACCTAATTTTTTATAACGCACCTGATTCATACGAGACATTAACATATACAAAATAGGTAGACAAAATATAAGTAAATATATTCTTAAGAAAGATGGAAAATGAAATGCAAAATTCCAAGAATTGGGCATGGAATAAGTAAATTTCCCCGTTTCTTCAAAATACGGAATATTCCTTAGTATTATGACTCCTTCGCATAAAAATCCTAGCGGATATAATGGCATCCATATAGTGTATCTTAGCCATGTTAAAAATGGAATTTCAATTTTCAATAATTGCGTTATGTAGTAAGGATATCTAACTATTTCTACTATACTCCAAGCAAGAAATAGGTAGAACACAACAGGTTTTGTTTGCATACGTGGTTCAGCTTCGATCATAGCAAATAAAACAAATGCTCTACCCCCTACTTGTACAAGTGATACCAAGATGCTGCCTTTAGTATAGCCAAATAAGGCGTGCATAACTTCTAAAAATTGTAAAAGTTGTATAAATTTTATTGGATTCCCGACAGCAGTGTATGTTTCTTTCATGGAAGCTAGAAATCAAAATTTAATGTTTCAATAATTACTTTATTAATTATTGCAGCCAATATAGAAACATAAATTATTGAAGTATTTACTAACCTGGTCCATCTCGTAAATACATTATTGCCATTATAGTAACGACATAAGTAAAACCAACAAACTGGCAAAGATTATAAATTATTAAGTACACCGTCTTGGAATCCTCTAGTGAATAAATAAATACAAATTAGTGATTCAAGAAACGTATATACAGATGAAAAAGATGGCTAGGAGGACAGCAGGCTTCCAACTAACAACGAAAATAAATGTGCTCATTGTACAATTAGATCTGCACTCCTTTACCCAGCCATCTTCCGATTTCTGAACTAATAAATAGTTACATCTACACAAGATAAACAATATAGCATATTGTAATAGTCTCTAATATTATTATCCTTCTTAATAAATTAATTATAAATTACAGTTTAGCTTTAAAAAGCAGATACCCCATTAAGATTCTATGACGCCATTTTGGTATGTTCCCTTTAAGTATTTACTTCAATCATCTGTTCTATTTTTAGAGATATAAAAATAATTTATTTACAAGCTGTACGATATCAAAAGGGATATAATGCAAAGGCAATACAGTTTCTTTCGGTGACGAATCTTTAGAAATATTGAAGCCTACTCGATTTGTTTAAATGGAAATAGATCTTTGTTTTATTATATAAACCGATATTATCGTTCGTACTGCATAATAAAGTAACGATAAAAGTCTGGTAAAAGTTAATATACAATGAATTATAACTGAGCAAATTTTGTATATTTCTGCAAATCTACATACAATTTTACTTTCCCGCGTTATACGAAATATTGAATTATAGTTGCTATCAATAAAAGTTCAATTATAAGGTTGTTCAATTTGCCTATATGTCTACAGCTTGACATGTAAAACATCTGTAAGACTATATTTCAACAAACAAAAATATAACAAATCTGAAGTTGTCATATTCTGAATTTGTATTATATGTGTGTATGTATTATATTGTATGTATATCAAGATGAAAAAAATTTTGATTAGTTCACTAATAATGAAAATAATTGAAGTCGTTATTATAATAAATACATCAGTCTCTATAAGAAAATATACCTTTCTTGTATCCGAATTCTTCTTTGTATAGCTTGTCATACATGCCAGGATAATCATTGCATATATCCCGTTTTTTATCTTCAATATCATCTAAGTCTTCACTTGACCACTTATCAAAATCGATTTTTAACCAAGCTGGTTTCTGTGGTTGACTAGTTAATCTTGGCCACCAACCAAGACATTTTTTTTTTAATACAAAATCAACTTCGCGATCTACTACATTATAACGGCTTTCCTATAACAATAAAAAAGTAATTATATTAATTAATTGTATAATCGCCGATTCAATTTTATTACATTAGGCTTTGGTAAATGAATTCAGTTAAGATACATGTGAATTGTTTATCTTTCAAAAGTATAATATGTACTTCTATCTTGCAGTATAACAACACAAATTATAATATACAGATTTTAATAGGGATATTAAATACTTCCAATATTTTCATAAATGGTCAACAATTTAATATATTAACTAATGAAATATTACTCATGCGATGAGGCAATTAAAACTGTACACTTTAATAATTTATCCATTGTTAATGATAAACATAAATACATCA